GGGGTTCACCTCTCTCTTACAGGTTTAGATATCCTGAATTCCGGGCTACAGGTGGGTATCGAGGAGGCGCTGGCTGCAGGGGGGCCCGGTGCCTCCCAAGGGGACAGTTAGGGAGGTCCTGCGATGGCCGTAGTCCTGGCCGGCGAAGATAATTGGAAGGAAGTGCCCAAGCGGCTTGGGGAGTCGCAGCCTGCTGAGAGCTGGTGGCGGGGGCAGGCTGCTCCGGACTCGAGGCTTCATTTGATAGAGCTGTCTGTTGGTAATCCCCCAACAGCTGATAGGTTGTGGACGCTGGCAATAATCATTAATAAAGGTGTTTGGGGTTTGGTCTGGTTCAGCAGTCAAGTACCTTCCTGGAAACATAAGGAAGGGAGGACATGACTGCTGGCAGGGATAAGGGGATACAATGTGGCACCCTGACATTAAGAAGGGGAGAAAGGGAACGGTACTCACCAGTTACCGGGCAGAAGTGTAATGGTGCTAGCTTCCCACTCGCCCACCCATAAGATGTTTTATGTTTGGATTTCAGTTGGTTGTGACCCGGACTCGTGGCTTCATTTGATAGAGCTGTCTGTTGGTAATCCCCCAACAGCTGACAGGTTGTGGACGCTGGCAATAATAAAGCTGTGGCCGTTGCCCTTAACCATTCAAAGGTTGTTGTGTATTTATTGGGCAACAGTCATGGCAGTCACTAAATGTGCTTCCACTGTGAGAACCATGTCAAACACACAGCTATCCTCTATTTTGTTAGAGGGGCACATTGCTGGCCACACATGCACTTTTCGTCCCCAATGCTCTTCTGTGGGGAGCATTGGATTGGACTTTAGACATGTTGGCATGATTTTGCAGGAGGAAGAATGAGTAACTACAGGGACTTGTTATTGATGCTGGGGGGAAAGAAAAGGTAAGTGCTTTTAGGGGGGCTGAATGTATAAAAGAACACTAAAGCATTAGGAATACAGGTTTGCTTTCCTAGCATTGTTACTGATCCTTTAAACAGAAACAATATATACTAACTTTTATCACATGAAACTTTTCTTTACACAAGTTAGTTGCCAAAAATGCCTACAGGTCATTATTTTCATCTAAACAGTAAAGTCATCAGACCTTGACTAGAGATTTTCAAAGCCAAGTTGATTAGTTCATAGAATCCCACTGTCCAGGGAAGATAAAATAATTGTTTGAAGTACCTCATAATGCAGAATCCCCTCTGTGCCCATTGAGTGCAGGTTCGATTGCAATCTTTTATTCAACATAGAAACATAGAATGTGACGGCAGATAAGAACCATTCGGCCTATCTAATCTGCCCAATTTTCTAAATGCTTTCATTAGTCCCTGGCATTATCTTATAGACAGGGTAGCCTTATGCCTATCCCATGCATGCTTAAACTCCTTCACTGTGTTAACCTCTACCACTTCAGGTGCAAGGCTATTCCATGCATCCACTACCCTCTCAATAAAGTAATACTTCCTGATATTGTTTTTAAACCTTTGCCCCTCTAATTTAAGATTTAAAATGCCCTCTTGTTGTGGTAGCATTTCTTCTTTTAAATATAGTCTCCTCCTTTACTGTGTTGATTCTCTTTATGTATTTAAATGTTTCTATCTTTCCTCCAAGCAATACATGTTAAGATCTTTTAACCTTTCCTTGTAAGTTTTATCCTGTAATCCATGAACCCCTCTCCAAAGTATCAATATCCTTCTTGAGATATGGTCTCCAGTACTGCATAAAATACTCTGTGATGTCTCACCAGTGTTCTATGCAATGGCATGAGCACTTCCCTCTTTCTACTGCTAATACCTCTCCCTATACAACCAAGCATTCTGCTAGCATTTCCTGCTGCTCTATTACATTGTCTGCCTACCTTTAAGTCATCAGAAATAATCACCCCTAAATCCATTTCCTCAGATGTTGAGGTTAGGACTCTATCATATATTCTGTACTCTGCCCTAGGGTTTTTACTTCCAAGATGCATTATCTTGCAATTATCCACATTAAATGTCAGCTGCCACAACTCTGATCCTTTTTCTAGTTTACCTAAGACATTTGGCTTATCATCAACCCTGATACATATCTTAGTATCATCAGCAAAAGGACATACATTACCATCAAGGCCTTCTGCAATATCACTAATACAAATATTAAAGAGAATGGGTCCAAGTACAGATCCTTGAGGTGCCCCACTGGTAACAAGACCATGCTTCGAATATACTCCATTGACTATAACTGTCACGGCCCCTGGCTCGCCGCGAGGTGCGGTCGCACTTGACCGGTGAGACTACACCGACGAACTGAGCCTACCTGCTCAGCGGTTCATTGCCCTGTCATGGTTTCCGAGAGTGCGTTTTCTTGTCCTGTCTTTTGATATTCTGGGTATTATGACCTTGGCTATTCTGACTTCTGGTTTCCCTGACTTGGCTTGTTTAATGATATTGTGTGTAACGGATCGCCTGGCACCCCGACTGGGTACCTCCGTTGAAGGATGCTCCTAGCGCTTCCTGAGGACTCAAAGCACTCTGGCAGACACCCCAATCACCGAACCGGAGAAACAAATAAATTCTCCCAAGCATAAGAATGCTGTAGACAGTTGAATAGGAACCATACGAATAGGTTTACTCTCCTAGCAGTCAAACTGGAACAGCATACAATAAATCCTTCCCCCAATAATGAGACAACACTTCACTTTGAGGGTTAAAACAGGAACTCCCTGTACTGTCACATACAGTCTCTTTTATTCCCAATCCACAAACATAGTACAGCTCACAGGGCGTTACAAAACAACCAATCAATCCGTACAATACACCCAGACACTCCCACACAAAATCCTACCCTCTGCAGGTGATATGATTACTGAACACAATGGGTAATCTCATTATCACCGGCAGAGGAATACAGTTTTTACACAATATTTCTAACTTCTAAAATATACATGTCACAAACATAAAACATACATTTTCATAATCAATCCATTCAGGGGAACAACATATTAAAAAATTGCACTAATCAGACCAGGGGTTCAAAAGTTAAGGGAAAGTCCTTTGTGACTAAATGAAGCATGGCTTTCTGGCCCAAACCAGTTTCAGAGTCTTCTATCCTGGAGAGTAATTCAATTATCTCCCAGGATAGACACAAGACTCCATTAAGCACATGGTTGCAAAAAGACACAAAACACTTTAAAATACATAAAGTCACATTTACACATAACACACAGACATTTCACATATCCCCAGATAGCTGGGATCTGAGTGCACATTATTAGATGAATGGCACTCAGATCACACAAATAAGCCTTTCTGCAGGGGAAATAAACGGTTTAACCTGCAGGGCCATAGTCCAAAGGGAGCAGGCGAGCAACCAGGCTTCTCCAGTTCACAGTGGCGAGGTTGGTTTCGCCACACTTCTCCCCTTTACCAACTAGACTAACAGGGTATCTGACCTCCTGCCGGTCAGTGCCCTGGTTAGTCCAGCAACCCACCCACAAAACAGAGACAGCAGTACAGCCCACCCACAATAACTGGTTACTACACCTGGGTAGAGGAGAACTTTGTCCATGTCCAGGTGCCTCACCACGACTGTGTGGGTAACTGTTAGGCTGCCTTGGTGGGTTGCTGAGTGGGCAGAGACCAGCAGTACTCTGCCCTGATGCCAGTGCTACCACGGAAGTAGCCTGGTGGGAGCCTGGTTGTGGGAGGGAGAGACCGACTGTCTCCCCTCTGGATACACCGCTCTGTGGCTGGGGAACAGGACCGACTGTCCCTACCCCTTGTGCTGTAAGTGCAGAGACTACAGTCCCATCTGCACTGTTGGGGGGTGTAACATCTCCCCTTGCTGGGTTAGGCTGCCGCTGGAGAGAGGGTGTAACAAGCTCCTCTCTCTGAACTGTAAACTGCCGCTGGGGAGAGGGGGTATCAGGCTCCTCTCCCTGACACTCTCTTTGCTGGTGGAGAGGGGGACCAACTGTCTCCCCTTTCAATATTTTGTCCTGCGGCTGGGGTGCGAGACAGACGGTCTCTGCTTCCTGGAGGACACTCTGCCGCTGGGGAGGAAGGACGGCACCTTCAGCTCCCTGGGGTACACACTGCCGCTGGGGAGGAAGGACGGCACCTTCAGCTCCCTGGGGTACACACTGCTGCTGGGAAGGAAGGACTGCACCTTCAGCTCCCTGGGATATACACTGCCGCTGGGGAGGAAGGACGGCACCTTCAACTCCCTGGGATACATACTGCCGCTGGGGATCTGGGCCGACTGCCCAGCATCCCTGTAGGGCCGGTAGAGAGACAGCCGTCCCATCTCTACCTGCCATCGGTGGGTCTTCCCAGGACCAGTCTATGAGGTCCCCTACTTCTGCAACTGGTAGTGAAGCAGTGGGGACCTCGGCTGCGTTTTCCCAGCTGTAGGTTGGCAGGTCTGGGTCCGCCACCCAGTTTTCCTGTTCTGCGTCTATGCTCTGCGGCTGACATGAGTTCAGAAGTTCCACATAGTCCATCTCTAGCTGTCGTTCCATGGCAGCCAAACGGTGGAGGTCTTGCCCCAGTCCCATAGATCTCGGGCCCTGTACCATCTCACCCCGGTAATAAAAGATAGCCCAGTACCGTGACTCTGCTGGACTGCCAAAGTCAACGTCTTCTGCTAAGGCCTTCCACAACAGGCCAGGGCTAGTGTAGTTCTCCCCCTCCGGCTGGATGCCCTTTGCCCTCCACGTCTCTGGCTGGACAGTGCACCACCACAGTGCCCGGTATGAGGCGTCAAGGCTCAGTTCCCTTTCCACAAGGTACTCAAGTTGTCTGACTTGCTGCCCTCCGGGTTGGTCTCCCAGAAGCGGCATCCGCCAGGCCATTTGTTCCTCCAACCGGTATGCGACACCAGGAAGGCGCTGCTGCCGTTGATACATTACTTCCTCCAGGGCATCGTACCATAGTTCTTGCCGGGCAATATCTCTCCATTCCAATTCACTCTCTTCCTCAGGTGTGCGTGTTGCCCAAGGATCCACGAACCCCATTTTCCCAAATCTTTATGTAGACAGGGACGCTGTATAAACACTAGTGTCGCCTTCAATTTGTAAATCCAAACGAACTGTGTCTCTGAGCTGCTTTACCTCGCACTAGGACGCCATCCCACCGCTTGCCACCAATGTAACGGATCACCTGGCACCCCCGACTGGGTACCTCCGTTGAAGGATGCTCCTAGCGCTTCCTGAGGACTCCAAGCACTCTGGCAGACACCACAATCACCGAACCGGAGAAACAAATAAATTCTCCCAAGCATATGAATGCTGTAGACAGTTGAATAGGAACCATACGAATAGGTTTACTCTCCTAGCAGTCAAACTGGAACAGCATACAATAAATCCTTCCCCCAATAATGAGACGACACTTCACTTTGAGGGTTAAAACAGGAACTCCCTGTACTGTCACATACAGTCTCTTTTATTCCCAATCCACAAACATAGTACAGCCCACAGGGCGTTACAAAACAACCAATCAATCCGTACAATACACCCAGACACTCCCACACAAAATCCTCCCCTCTGCAGGTGATATGATTACTGAACACAATGGGTAATCTCATTATCACCGGCAGAGGAATACAGTTTTTACACAATATTTCTAACTTCTAAAATATACATGTCACAAACATAAAACATACATTTTCATAATCAATCCATTCAGGGGAACAACATATTAAAAAATGGCACGAATCAGACCAGGGGTTCAAAAGTTAAGGGAAAGTCCTTTGTGACTAAATGAAGCATGGCTTTCTGGCCCAAACCAGTTTCAGAGTCTTCTATCCTGGAGATAAGTAATTCAATTATCTCCCAGGATAGACACAAGACTCCATTAAGCACATGGTTGCAAAAAGACACAAAACACTTTAAAATACATAAAGTCACATTTACACATAACACACAGACATTTCACATATCCCCAGATAGCTGGGATCTGAGTGCACATTATTAGATGAATGGCACTCAGATCACACAAATAAGCCTTTCTGCAGGGGAAATAAACGGTTTAACCTGCAGGGCCATAGTCCAAAGGGAGCAGGCGAGCAACCAGGCTTCTCCAGTTCACAGTGGCGAGGTTGGTTTCGCCACATTGTGTATTTCTGGTTTCCTTGACCTTGGCTATCCCTGGACTATTCTCTGTCTTTAACGTATTAGACTGGCCGTTCTAAGGACCGGTTTACGTTCCATCCTCTTCTGTTCTGTCAATGTAGATGCTACATAGTTCTGCGTGCTGGAGCACTCTAGCTGTCGTGACAACAACCCTCTGTACCCATTCAACAATCTTGGAATCCAAACTTAAAGATTGCAGTTTATAAGTCACCCATGATGATAACTTCCCCATTCATTGTCAATTTAGCTATTTCCTCAACCAGTAGATTATCTAACTCTTCTATTTGTCCAGGGGGCTTGTAAATCACACCTACACAAGTTATTGTGTGATTACCAAATTCTAATGTAACCCAAACGGACTCTATGTTCGCCTAACTAAATTTTATTAGGCTAGATTTTATGCTATCCTTTACATACAGGACCAACCCTCCCCCTTTCTTGCCTTCCTTGTCTTTTATATATAATGAGTACCCTGTTATTACTATCTCCCAGTAATTGTTCTCATTATACCATGTCTCAGTAACAGAAACTAAATCTACATTCAGTTGCCATTATTGCCACAAATTCATGGATCTTATTCCCTTAACTGCGAGCGTTTGTAGACATGGCTCTAAGCTTATATTTTTTAACACTCTTGCTTTTGGGGGGCAATTTGTTGATGTTTTATCACCTTTTTGCTCCCCCCTCATAGTTTAAATACATTCTAGCAAAACCTACATACTGCTCACTGAGAACATGTGTTCCCTTTTGAGAAAGAGGCAAACCTTTTTTTTGTACAGTTTATTTCCATTCCAAACAGAGCTACCATGAGAAATGAGCCTCATCCTTGCTCCTGACACCATTCACCAAGCCACAAGTTAAGTCCCTAATACGCAGTTTCAGAATGTTTGTAAACATTTCTGCCAAGATACTTTGAATGTGCAGAATGTTCGCTGCTTCCAGTGACCTGAAGAAAGAAACAATGACTATAATCACCTATAAGCAAACCTGGGCTGGCCATCAGGCAAATTTCCTATGGGTTACAATGGCTATGAGCCAAAACCAACAGGTAAAATTTAAATTAATTTTACTTTAATTACATAATTCATAATATTTTTTAATAACTTACCTTTAAGTGCCTGAAACAGCCACAGAGTGTCTATCCTCCCCCCACTGCCGGTGAGGGATATCCTGGCACAAGCAGTGTACTTACCTCAGAAACAGCGACCTGCTGTATAGCTCAGATAATAAGCAACCTAAACAAGATATTTAATGCCTTCTAGTCCAAACTTTACAAGAGAATGCAAAACTCCACACCTATGGACCAGACAGATTCTGTGCCATCGGTGGGTGTTATAAATTCCAACGGTGGAGGTGGGCGCAGGACGGCGGCCACCAAAAGTCCTTCATGGAGCTGGCTGCGCAGGTGGACACGAGGAACCCGTCTTCCAAGCAACCTTCGGGCAGAGATATTGAGATGTGGGACCTCTCCAACAGATCACCGTTCTTGGATGCTGTCCCAGCCCTTAAGAAGCATCAGTCCTACCCAGAATGTGCATACTACCTGTCACCCATTGGTTCTGCAGCATCTCGGCTGTCTACTATTCTACGGGACTGTACTTGGAGCCCAAGGGGGATCGGCTGACTGTGACCATGCTCCAGATGAGTCTCTCCACCGTGGCTCTATAACCCTGAAATGTTAACTTGACAAATATCACAGTGATAAATCTTTAGTTTTTATTCCCACTGCTCTATCTTAGCTACTGTTTATTAGCATGTGTTTTCTACCACCCCACAAAAAATGTGCTGCATTATAGACATACTTGTTCAGCTTGCATACTCAGGGCTGCCCAAACTCTGAAAGCTACTGAAGCACATGTGTATGGGTTGGAATAGGATGTAATCCCTCTCAACTGTAGAGCTAACCACATCTTGCTCTAAAAGAGCGACACATTTTTTGTATATTTTTTTATGGTGGAGTGAGCAAACCGCGGTACATTCCATAGGGGGAATATAATGGTGCCATCGGAGAATGCTTCGGCTTTTGCCACCCGGAAGAACTTCTGTTATTGTTGTGACATCATGATGAAAGCTTGTATATGTTTCTGCCTGTCGTTATGAATAATATACACAGGCAGAACTTCAGAGAATGACAGCGTGGAAGCAACCTGCCATATATCATTGGCAAAAACACAAAAAAACTTCCTTTACCTCTGAAAAAAAAAAAAAGCTTTACCGTAGTCTAAATAGAGCAACATCAGATAAAAATAAATGCATCAAATTAACTAATGTTTTGCCGAATGTCACTATTTTGTCCCAATGATTTTGGATATTGTGAATAGTCTCTTATGTAAGTTAGCAGAATCACATGTGTACGTTTGCATACTAGCTTTGTCTTCCTGTGAATGGTGTCAGAAAGGTGAGCTAGGTGACACCTTTCAGTTTAATCTTAAAATAGTTGCTACTAACTTCACCAGTGTAAATCTTGGTTTTATTAGAGCATGGGTTGGCAACATTCAGCACTCCAAATGTTCAAACAAGACTTTTGTTCCCTTCAGGGCCGGCGCTACCTGTAAGGCGGACTAAGCAGCCGCCTAGGGCGCCCCTCGCCAGGAGCGCCGGCCCCCCATGCTGCAGCCGCCTGATGTTCTCCCAGAATATTGATTTTTGTGACAACAGTTACAAACAGCCTCCAGAGAGCCTGTTCTACACCAGACCAGTGGAGCCAGACTGCAGCTAGAGCCCATCATCATCCTCATCTGGTTGTAAGTAGGCAATCTAGTATATTATTTGTGGCACTAATCTCTAATTTACCTCACATTAAAGAAACACTATAGTCCCCAGAACCACTGCAGCTTAATGTAATTGTTCTGGTGTCTATAGCCTGTCCCTGCATGCCTTATAATGTAAACACGGCGGCACTGCAGCACTGGCGTTAGTTAACATGGCAGGTCATATGGGTGGAGCATTGTGATGTCACATGGGGGCAGGGGAGGCGGCAAACTTTACTTTTGCCTAGGGCGGCAAAAATCCTTGCACCGGCCCTGGTTCCGTTTATTCTGTTCCTTTAAAACCAAGCTCCTACACTGATTATGTTTCCCCACTAGTGACCTCTCTTGCCTCTACTTCTGAAACGTACATTATCATCCTCACCAGCCTGGACTAATTAAGATCCTACAAAAACTTACACCCAACTCACCACATGGCCTTTACATTGAAGTTGTTGATTTGCCTGAAACACTTCAGATCGTCTCCTGTGAACTAACCTTCTTGGCTTCAAACCTGCTCCATACCAACCTGCTCCAGACTTGACTGAAAAACTCTGCATTTATGTTTGACTTACTAACCTGCTCCATACCAGCCTGAAAAACTCTGCATTCATGCTTGACTTCCAATCTGCACAATACCAACCTGAACTTCTCAACTATCCGGCTTTATCCTGCCATCCTGATTGATACCTGCTTAATCCATACAACCTCTCTGCTCTATACCTACCTGTATAACTCTGCTCTGGACTTAGTGTTATTTTCCTGCTTGAGCAATACTCCTTCCAATAGGGGGCTTACTAAGTAAAGTTCTCCTTTTCCTGCAATCCTCCTACCGTATTGTTCTGTTTTATTTGTCCTTGCATTTTAACCTATACTTTTATCTATAGGTTTCCTTATTATTTACTTACATTCCTGTTTATGTTCTATTTAGGACATATTGCCTTTATCCCTTTATTTCTGTTTTCTCTCTTTACTATAATTTCAGTTATAGGCTATCCTGTTTATTCTTTTATGTCCAAATCCTGCAATAGAGAACCTATTGTTAACTTTGGCCAAAGTCTTATATCTGACCTGCTCAGAATCATGACAGGTGTGTACTACATCTCCAATGATGCTTTGTCATCAGTATGGCTGTAATAGAATTATGGGAGACGCAGACCACCAAATATGGAGTGCCTCTTCCCTAGAACTTCCTCAGGGATTGGTTATATTTGGCTAGAATTGTGACTGTATACAGTAACGGTTAGATCGATTTAACCAACTTAGTACTTCTTTACCTTGCATATATTTTCTTACTCTCACATTTTTGCTTAGGCTTAGTATCTGTTCCATTGGTATCTTTTCTGTTTATGGCATAATACCACACACTGCAGTGACTGAGCACTTGTAAGTAGATGTAACACATTTTATTGACATATCACTATTTTATACCTTGTTAGGCTGTTCACTGACTTTTATTATGTATAATTT